CAAGGGCAGCATTTACTTGTTCTTAAAACGTCACTTTTTCTACATATACAGGAGTGTATACGCCTACACGCATTTACAAAACAAAGACAAAGATCCCCCGTGTAGCCTTAACAGATCGTTGGAGTAAGTGCTGTTAGCCAGAACCTATGAAGGCCGGCACGGCACACGAGGGGGTGGGTAACCAGCACCACGACCGGCCGCCTTTGTCTCCCCAGTGGCGATGATTTTACATACCGCAGCAGATACTCATTTGAGGCTGAGTAGACCTAGGGGAGGTCCAAAACCGGTTCAGATAAACGTCACCGGTGTTAGCCGTGAGCGGGAAACGAACTCGGGTCGTCGGGTTCGTAGCGCAGCGCGCTAACCGCTACACTACACACATATACGTGCACATATATACATGCAACACATACATACATTCAATACAAATCTGAATGGATCGATACTTGCAATTGATACACACACAACGAGACACAGACATGCAATCTTACACGTGTATACACATATCAACAGGTACGTACCCGTACATACGTCCATAATGATGTAACCACATTGTGTATATTGTAGGGAATGAGTTCTCGAATTGTATTCGTTTAGCATTTTCGGAAATTGGATTTTGTTTCGTACATTCGGAATCAATTTTAATTATTGAATAATATACATATATATTATACTTATGCTTACAAAAGTGACGTCGACGATGCCACGTGACTGTTTTGGCGGGAAAACTAATAAACCGACGCCATTTTAGTGATGCCATTTAAACGTTTTACTTTAAAAAAAATCAGAATAATCATTTTTATTTTCCAGATCGTCGTAAATTTCGTAAATCTAAGGCTAGATTTTAGAAAGATTTTATTTTGCAGATTAAGGCGGCAAAAAGGCAGAACGCGTCCCGAGTATATTGCGTGTTTAAGTCATCGTGCCCGTTTGGCCAAAGCCGTAAACCATAATCTACCGAATATAATCACCATAATATTTCACGATCATTATGCCACGATGGAAGACATAATTAGCCGAAATAGTATTCCCATTAAAAGTGAATTCGAGCACTATTTGCGTCACAAGGCTTCTATGGGGTAGAGCGGTGGCGCCGTGGTTAGCGCGCTGAGCTATGAACCCCCCCCCCCCCCCCCCCCCATTACACCTTAACATGCCAACGTTAGCACGTGGTTAGAACCGTTGCATCAATAACGTTGGCCCAACGTTGGACTCACGGCCAACATCAGTGGCGAGCGATAACCAGGTCGGTCTTCACCGCTGCCGCGACTTCACGAACCCAGACTTGACCGGCGTGGTGAAGTATGGTCAAACACCCCCCCCCCCCCCCCACGCACACACACACACGTGGATGCTTTCATCCAACAGCGGATTGACAAAGCTGCTGTTGACAAAATACCTCTCTGCAGAAACACGTTTCATATTCATGTTTTAAAACAACACACAGAGACATACACACATCACTTAAACTGCGCCCAGAATAATTTGCACAGTCCGGAATGTTATTGTAGAACTGTCCGCTGACATAACTTTTTCTTCTTAATATCTGCCGTTGTTTTATTTTTTACATCATTATGCCTGTATTATCATTCACCCGCGGTGGAATACATCGCGCAGCAGCTGTGGGATCGCCTCTGTGCTCGCGAGCGGCAGAACGCAAGTAATAATTGCGTAGTAACAGGCGAGTGAAATTGGCCATAACAGATCGTTCGACTTGATTCCTGACTTAGATCCGCGCCGCGGTCGCTAGGATATGTTAACTACCTCGCCTGGTGTGCAGGGGGTCGTGGACTCGATCCTGACCCCGACGTCTGCTGCTATATATTTGGAGTTTGCTTTCTCTCTCTCTCTCTCCATGATCACGTGGATTTTTTTCTGGGGTTCATCTGCTTTTTTTCTCTCTCTCTCTCTCCCTGATCGCGTGGATTTTTCTCTGGGGTCCATCGGTTTTTTTCCACCTCCACACTGAGACTCAACATCACCACGCGTTTAGAGTGTTTTGGTTGCTATAAATGTCCACGTGATGAGACACTCCGTTGAGCTGTCATGTGTGGCCAGGTCGCTTCTGAAAAAGAGCTGCACAAATCAGTGAGCCTTACCTGTCAAGATTTTTAAAAAACATAGTTTTAGTTCATATTCAGAGCAACTGTATCCGGGATGGAGCGGTGGCGCAGCGGTTAGCACACTGTGCTCTGAACCCAGAGGGACCCGGAGTTCGATTCCGCCCTAAGGCCAACAGCATCAGCGGCAGCGAGTATCTGAACCGGTGCTGTGGTTCGCCGAGGTCGATTCAGCCTGGTGCGGTGTGAAAATACATCGCCAGGAGGGAGACAAAGGCGGCCGGGCGTGGTGCTGGACACATCTTCCCTCATGTGCCGTTGCCGGCTTTCGTAGGTTGCTACTCACTCGCTCAACAGCACTTGCCCCAATAGTCTGTGAAGCCTCTACGGGGGATCTTTGTCTCTATTGCGCTACTGACCCAGCACCCCAATTGTCTGAACTAGCCATGGGCCTCCCCGAGGTCGATTGGGTCGCACAAAAAACATATTTTGAGGTAATTGTAAAAAACCTGGATATAAAAAACCCCCATCAAATAAAGACGAAAGTTTGGGTTAGCAGCGTGGTTTGAATCTGATTTTATTAATTATTACACTTAATTCAGATCCTTCACAACAAAAGTGAATGACGAAACATTATTGTCGATCAATCAATCAAGAAAAGTTAATTGACTGTTGTGTTGTGTTTTTTTAATCTCCCCCTCACCCCCACGTTCAAATAACAATAATAATAATATTTATACTAAATACAAAAACCGCACACGGCAAAAACAACAATCATCATCATCATCGGGGGATCATGGCAACGCGAGCCGGCCCACAAGTCAAGAGATCGTTTAAAGTAAATCTTCGACGTTAATCGATACATCTTCATAATAACATTATCATAATTATGTATTTACAGTCGCACGTCGCTTCCACGAAATAACACAAACAAAACATGCAACGGTTGGCTGTCTTTGTTTGTTGATGCTGTTGTTGTTGTTCTTGGAAAAAAATGAGGTCCCTTAAAAAGTCGTGCGATTGCCGCATCAATAACAACAGCAGCCGTGTTACTTTTCAGAGTTCGTGGGCGGTTGTTTGTGTTTGTTATTCGTCGCGAATGTTAAACATCGTAAGCTTTTTGATCCCCTTCTCCTGATTTATAAGACGCTCGTCATCATTATTATTACATGTAGTGGTAGTGGTGGTGATGATGAAGATCGCAGTGTATCCCTAACAACTCATCTGCGTGATGATTGCGTGGGGGAGCTTTTAAATCGTTACACACCCAAACATCGAGCAGGCGACGTTTTAGGGGGCACCGTTGATGTTTGTCGATGCGCTATGAAGAAGGGCCAATGCCCAAAGCGTGCGTTGCGTGTGGTCAGATTTGTTTCACTTCAGAGAAGTTTGGGGAGTGGTGGCAGCGGGAGACGGGGTGCGTCTTACTTTCCGGTGCGTCTCATAATCCGGAGAAATACGGTAATGTGTGTGTGCACGTGTCTGTGTGTATGTGTGTGTGTGCATGTGTGTGTGTATACGTGTCTGTGTGTGTACACGTGTCTGTGTGTGTGTACACGTGTCTGTGTGTGTGTACACGTGTCTGTGTGTGTGTGCATGTGTCTGTGTGTGTGTACACGTGTCTGTGTGTGTACACGTGTCTGTGTGTGTGTGCATGTGTCTGTGTGTGTGCAGGTGTCTGTGTGTGTGTGCGCACGTGTCTTCGTGTGTGTGTGTGTACATGCGTGTGTGTGTGCAGGTTTCTGCGTGTGTGTGTGTGTTCGTATGTCTGTGTGTGTACACGTGTCAGTGTGTGTGTACACATGTCAGTTTGTGTGCACTGGTGTCTGTGTGCGCGTGTGTGTATACGTGTCCGTGTGTGTACACGTGTCTGTGTGTACACGTGTCTGTGCACGTGTCTCTCTGCGTCTGCACGCGTGAGTGTTTTGTTCCACCCTCAAACTCACAAACAAAAATGAGCGATGATATTTACACCAGATTTTATATCGATTCGCGTGAAACAACAACAACAACAACGACAACAACGACAACCAACCACCACCACGACGAGCGACAGAGAGATAGCGGGCAGGACGAACGAGGTCTCATTTGGCCCCCGCTGCTGCTGCGCTACGCTCGATGCGCCGAGCAGCTCCCGTCACTACCAGCGGGAACGCGCAACCACCACGAGTCGTCACGCGACCGCCGCGAGTCGTCACGCGACCACCACGAGTCGTCACGCGACCGCCGCGAGTCGTCACGCGACCACCGCGAGTCGTCACGCGACCACCGCGAGTCGTCACGCGACCACCGCGAGTCGTCACGCGACCACCGCGAGTCGTCACGCGACCACCGCGAGTCGTCACGCAACCACCACGAGTCGTCTCGCGACCACCGCGAGTCGTCACGCAAACACCGCGAGTCGTCACATCGAGATGCGTCCGAAGCGTCGTCGTCGTCGCGTTGCCCTCTCGACATGTCGCGATCGCGGGCAACCCCGGGATATTCACTCGGGCAGCAGTGTGCGTGGTACGTGTGTGTGTGGTACGTGTGTGTGTATGGCACGTGTGTATGTGGTACGTGTGTGTGTATGGCACGTGTGTGTATGTGGTACGTGTGTGTGTGTGTGATACGTGTGTGTGTGGTACGTGTGTGTGTGCGTGGTACGTGTGTGTGTGTGTGTGGTACGTGTGTGTGTGTGGTACGTGTGTGTGTGTGTGTGGTACGTGTGTGTGTGGTACATGTGTGTGTGTGGTACGTGTGTGTGTGTGGTACGTGTGTGTGTGTGGTACGTGTGTGTGTGTGGTACGTGTGTGTGTGTGGTACGTGTGTGTGTGTATGGCACGTGTGTGTGTGTGGTACGTGTGTGTGTGTACGTGTGTGTGTACGTGTGTGTGTGTGGTACGTGTGTGTGGTACGTGTGTGTGTGTACGTGTGTGTGTGGTACGGCACGTGTGTGTGGTACGTGTGTGTGTGTGGTACGTGTGTGTGGTACGTGTGTGTACGTGTGTGTGTATGTGTGTGTGTATGTGTGTGTGTATACGTGGTACGTGTGTGTGTGTGTGTGCACACGCCATTTGGGTACGCGTGCGACCGAGATTGGACCGCTCAAAAGTGTGGAGGGACGACCCCGCCTCTCGTCGATAAATTAAAGTCGTTGTCGTCATCATCATAAATCATCGATGGCTATGATCTATCCACTGCTGGATGAAGATGGCGATGCTGCAAATCGTCCAAATGAAACGCACTTCTGCGGAATTGCTTTTTGTGAGCATTGTCGGTTTGTTGTGAGTACCCCCCCCCCACACACCTCCGATTATCGACGTACGGTACGAACGAAGTTCAACACACACACACGTACACATAGCTGCCCGCGCACACGAGCCGACTGAAGCTACACGTACGTAGCTGATTGTACATACTATGAAGAAGGGTCATTGCCCGAAACGTCGCCTATTACAGATAGTTTTAAGACCACACACAGTGTTGTTGGCAAAATGTTGTTGATGTTGATGATGATGTTTGTGCATGTCTAACACACCTGCCAATGCAGCAGCAGTAGTAGCAGCATAACGAACGTAATTACGTCCTCTGCTAAGCTCTTGTATAAATCTACTGCTGGATGAAGCCTGCATTATCGCTTTAAATACGTGGGCACGCTGCTGTGAAGTGGAAACGTGGTGAACTTTCCAAGTTTGTGAATTGTAAAACAAATAGTTTGAGGTTCGTGGAAATATTATTAAACTTTCAAAATGTTTCTACAAGCGTCATTTACTTCGCAATCGAAGTCAGACGTACGGCCGGTTCTGTAACCCAACGAACAAGAGACATATTTGAACAGTCTGAAACGTATTTCGCTTAACATTTAACTGCGCGATATTAAACGCTACGCAATTAAACGGCGCAGGTCACGGAACGCGGTCCGTTATGTTGAGTGACTTTATAAATATAGGATAATTGTTCAAGACTGCAAGCGTACGAAATTATAAATGTTTGTAATTTGTACAACGTAGGGACAGGGCAAAGAGAGAGAACTCGCGTGTTCGCGTTTAGCAGTTGATAAACGAAGGGGCAATTTAGAGATTTAAAATAATATGTCGTGTTCGTGTGCTGTACACGGACACACGTATACATTATGGAATAATTGTATATATGCACATACACGCGGTATGTTCTTATATACATTTAAACAAAAAATTGAGCTTGTAATTATATAATAAATAAAAAACTTGAAAATCTCTCCACCGGTTTCGACATTCTGAAATCTCATCAGCAGAGCTTAGAATTGTTGAACAACTCCTGCCGGATTCGGCAGATGTTATTGGCAAGAGCCGCTGCGTACAAACGATGGGACCCCAGCTCAACGCGACAGAGCAGCAAATGTGCGTGTTGACTCGGCGCTAGTGCAGTGCTAATTGTCGCCCTGCGCTACCAACCCGGCAAACCCGAGTTCGACTCCCGCTGACGGTCAAAAAACTGAACCCTGTCCCAGGCTTTCGCCTAAGTCGACTCGGTTGTTGTGTAAACATCGCCACTGGGGGAGACAAAGGCGGTCGGGCGTGGTTGCTGCCCACCCACCCGCTCTCGTTTAGCGTGCCGCGCTTTATCGGTACCACTCGCAGAAAAAAGCACTTTCCGTAACAGTCTGTTCAAGGCTATACGGGGGATCTTTGTCTTTGTTGTGCGAGTTGTCCGGCATAAACCGAAGCAATTTGTAATTCGTGAATTATAACGAACAATTAGAATGCAGTTAATGAATCATAATTAGCCGTAACAATGCCCGATGTGCCCTTTCAACTGCGAGTAAGGCTCGTACGGCGGTTGCAGAGATGGAGACAAATCGGGTTGCAAAACTTGCTAACAATTCATATTTTACCGGGCAAATAATTGTACACGTCGGTCGGGTTATGTTATTCTTCGCAATGTGTGCAGAGTTAGGGTTTGTTTTTTAGAGAAACGGGTTGTGTTGTTGCATTTGTGATGAAATGTTATTATAATGTGATGCAAAAAATAATACAAAAAACAATGTCTAAAAGCGACGTTTCTGGCAATGAGCCTTCTTCAAAGCACACATGAAGTAAACCAATGTCTGTTTCATTCACTTATTTTCTGGAAAATATATATATACTTGCGAAATAAATATATTTCATTCACGTGGATAAGAGCGGTGGCGCAGCGCTTAGCGCGGGAGCTATGAACCAACCCGGCAAGAGCTGATTTCGACTCCCGTGCCACGGCTAACATCAGTGTCGAGCCATATCTGAACCGGTCCTAGCCCCTCGCCCCCCCGCGCCCACCTCATCCTTCACCAACGGGGACTAACCAGAGTGGTGAAGTATGGCCAAACAATCTGTGAGAGGCTCATTCATCCAGCAGTGGACTGACAAAGGTGGCTGTGACTACTATTCATCTCTCTATACAAGTCGATGGGGTACCGGTAAAGAAGACGCGTACGCATTGTACCAACGTTAAGAATTCGTGTGGGTGTATAGTCCGTAACTGCACGTGTGTACGCCCCAGTAGACACATACGCGTACAATTTACCCAGACAAAGGTCCCCCGTGTAGCCTCTTAACGCACTGTTGGGGGCATGTATCCACAATGCCGATCCATCGCCGCTCGGTTAGGGCTGAGCAGACCACGAGGAGTCCCAGGACAGGCTCAGATAATTTAATCGTCGCGTTGGGACCAAGTGAACGGGACTCGAACCCGGGCTCGCAGGGTTTCGCAGCGCGGCGGCGCTAACCGCTGCGCCTCCGCTCCCCGCAATGTTCACCACCAGACACGGGCTTGTACCCTCGTGTGTGTACGCGCGCACACACACTCACACACTCACATCGCTGCAATACACTTATAAATAGTTTTAACCACCTTATCGTTTGGGCTCTTTCCTGTTTGTGGGGAAAGATGTGTACATTTTGCAGGCTCGCTAATAGCCCCGGCGTTCCAAATATATACACGATTGAGGAAACGCTGTCTCAACACACACACGCACACTCGTCGTGTCTGTCTGTGCTGTGTCTGTGTGTCCGTCCGTGGGGAGCGGTGGTGAAGCGGTAAGCGCGCTGCGCTACGAACCTGGCGACCCGGGTTCGATTCCAGCTCACGTCCAACAACGGTGGCGATTATCTGAACCGGTCCTGGGCCTCCCCTAGGTCGACTCAGCCTCAAATGAGTACCTTGTGTGATGTGTGAGCATCGCTGCTAGGGAGACAAAGGCGGTCGGGCGTGGTGTTGGCCACCCACCCCCTCGTGTGCCGTGCCGGCCTTCATGGGTGCTCGCTAACAGCACTTGCCCCGACGTTTTGTCCAGGCTATACGGGCGGTTCTTTGTCTTGTCCGTGAAGGGTACAGCTTATGTTGAGATTGTGTAAGTAGCTTGTGTATTTAACTGTGCGTGCTGAACACTGATGACTGATGTGGGACATCGCACGCGTGTGTGTGTCCGTGTGCGTCAGTGTGCGGTCGTGTAATGGGGAGCGGTGGTGTAGCGGTGAGCGCGCTGCGCTACGAACCCGGCGACCCGAGTTCGATTCCCGCTCACGGCCACCACGAGTGACGATTATCTGAACCGGTCCTGGGGCTCCCCTAGGTCGACTCAGCCTCAATTGAGTACATAGTGCTACGTGTAGAAAAAAACATTGTCACTAGGGAGACAAAGGCGGCCGCGCGTGGTGTTGGCCACCCACCCCCTCGTGTGCCGTGCCGGCCTTCATAGGTGCTCGCTAACAGCACTTGCCCCGATGTTTTGTTCAGGCTATACGGGGGATCTTTGGTGGTGTCGTAGCGGTTAGAGCGCTGCGCTACGATACCCGGCGATTTTGATTCTCTCGATTCTCGCTCACTGCCAACATCATTGATGAATAACTTAACCTGTCCTGGGCCTCCCCTAGGGCGACTTGGCATCAAATGAGTACCTGGTGCGGTGTGTAAACATCAGCGCTGGAGAGACAACGGCTTTGTGTGCCATGCCAGCCTTCATGTGTGTGATCGCGCAAAGCACTTGCACCAACAATATTTAGAGGCTATACGGAGGGTCTTTGTCTTTGTACACATACATACACACATACGTTTCAGGATTTCAGATCATTCCAAAAATTGGGAACACATTCCGAACGTGTACACTGGATACAGACAGACATTGCAGACACAATCGCGCCGTATATAACGCATCCAAACACACATTCATATCCACATAATAAAAACATCACACACATATACAAACATGAACATCTGAAAAGGATTGGAGATTATCCATTCATCCAGCAGTGGATTGGCTGTTTAAGATTACGCTGATACATCTCCATAAGAGGTTTTTATGGGTTAGTTCGCGTAAATATATAAACGTGTCGACGTTAAATCGTCACCACCCGACACAGCCAATTAAACAAAACGTGCAAATGCGTTACTAGCACAGCACATCGGTGTGTTGGAGAGTAAAGCCACAACGACGTTTCGCCGGTAATTACAACGAGCATCATCAGGCGACAGACAAATTTGGCGACTCGAATTGTAAATGTCGTTGGTTTACTTTACTCCCCAACACACCAATGGTGCTGTACTAGTAACGAATTGGCTACGTTCTGTTTACGTGACAAACCTTACTCGTTGGCTGTGTCGGGTGGTAGCGGGTTTAACGACACATTTATATATTTACGCGATCTAATCCAAAACAAACTTCTATCATGGCTACTACTGGTGGCGAACGCCTACGTGTTAAACCGATGATACATGTACATACATTCACAAATATGCACTAGATATATTAAATATACACGCACACATTTATACCGTTATGTAGAATGTACACGTACGTACGCATGCATGCATACATACTGCCTCGCCTAGTATACAGGAGGTCGTAGGTGCATGAATACACATACAGACATTCACACACATACAATACATACATACACTCTGTAGAATATATATGCAGATGTAATCTACATACATACACATGCATACAGATATCACATACATACACACTCCACATGCATACAGATATCACATACATACACACTCCACATGCATGACACATACAGAGCGCACTGATTTTCATACCTACATATAAATGCATGCATATATGAAAACATGCGTACAAAATGAACATACTTAGCACATACGCATAGGCACGTACTCCCATACACACGTGTAACATGCATGCACATATATGGCATTTAGAAAAACATAAACATACATTGAATGCATACTCTCACGCTATGTATCGGCGACGTATACACAGTTACACAGTATACATACACAATACGGATACATTACATACATTCTGGCATGAAACGACACAAAACGTGATCAACACACTATACATACATAACACACTATACATACAAACATGCATACACAAAGGTGACTTCCGATGCACGTCCAATACATGCACATACAGCGGATACGTAATGAACGAAGCACGTGCCGTCAATGCATCAACACATGCATACATACCCACACACGTACATCGCATATGCGTTTTACACGCGAACATTGCGGCATACGTATGTATGTGTGCATACATACGTATGCCGCAATGTTCGCATACGTGCTATTCAAAAATCGCATTTTACATGGATATACATGCATGCATACTCACTACTATTAACAGAACATGCATACTCATACACAAACGCATAATGCACGCACAATGAGCCTTCGTATATCAGCAGAATGTTGGGGCAAACTATGTTAGTGAGCGTCTATTAAGGCCGCCAAGGTGGTAGTGTGTCCAGAACCACTCCCGTCCGTCTTTGTCTCCCCCGTGCTGATGTTTATACGGCGCACCAAGGTACGTACTGCGGTGCCAAGATGTTAACTGCCTCGCTTGGTCTACAGGAGGTCGTGGGTTCAATCCCGACCCTGACGCCTGCTGCTGCTGTATATTTGGAGTTTGCGTGTCTCTCTCGCTCCCTGTAGTTGCGTGGATTGTTTTCTGAGTTCTCCGGTTTTTACCTTCAGATGAAGAAACGCGCGTTTCTAGTATTTGGCTGCTGTAAATATCCACGCGATAAGCCGCTTCGTTTAGCTATCATTTATGGCCAGATCGCTTCTGAAAAAGAGATAGTATGGCTCATTGCGCTCGACCTGGTAAAATAAAAAAAATTGTTTAAATAGTTTTAGTTCACTGATTTAAAAACTGAGTCGACCTAGGGGAGGCCCAGAACAGGTTCGGGCAATCGCCTGCCACCGATGTTGGACGTGGCCGGGAATTGAAGCGAGGTGCGACCGGGTTCATTTAGACACGCAGTGCCCACGTGGTCGTTGTGAATTCTAACGAAGTTCTTCAAATTCATATTCTTTGGGTCTTTTAGGTAAAGTCACGTAGAAAGGTTCAAAGAAAATTAAAAAAAAATTACTAAAATAACAAATTCATAATCAACGTTTTTGGGTTTAGATCGCGTTATTTATAAATGTGTCGTAACCCTCCACCACCCGACACGGCCAATCAGTAAAAAAGTGTCACGTTCACAAAAGACAAATAGTTCACTGCTTTAGCCCACCGGTGTGTTGAAGCCACAACATTTACAATTGTACAATTGTAAATGTTGTGGCTTCAAAGTGAACTATTTGTCTTTTGTCAACGTGACACTTTTTTACTGATTGGCCGTGTCGGGTGGTGGAGGGTTACGACACATTTATAAATAACGCGATCTAAACCCAAAAACGTTGATTATGAATAACATTGGTCGCGAAAGCCTACGTGTTAAACCGAAAATAACAAATGTTATAACAAACGTATTTTTTTTAAAATAACAAAAAATAACTAGTGTTGTTTTTTTGTTATTTGTATTTTTTGTTATTTTCTTTGAACCTATCTACGTGACTTGCGGTAATTTAAAGATTATGAATTACTGCAGTCACGAAAGCTTTAAGTCAAGACGTTCTTCAAGACGACGGGCCAGACAACTAAAACATCGGCACGAACGTGCACCTGGAGTTGGGATTGTATTTGTGTTGTCGTTGCTTATAATTGGCAACGATTAAAGAAATACCAAAAGCAGGAAAAACAACGTGATCTTAACTGGGCTCTCCCAGTGAGTTATAGGGCGTTATTTTCATTTCACCAGGTAATGCACACTTGAGCTGGGTAATCCTCCAAATGTGTCAGTGTGCCGCTTAAGCTGATGCTGATATCACATTTATGAAGCTTGTTGTCGGACACATTGACTAATATAGACACACACATAATACACTTTACATACATACACATGCATACTACATACACAAGACAAAGATACCCACGTATAACATTTAACATGCTGTTGGGGCAAGCGCTGTTAGCGAGCACCTATGAAGGCCCATATACACACACACAGAAACACTCACGCATATCTATGTAGTGTCCTCATATACATACGTACACATCTTTACAGATACGCATATTACACAGGAACACATTCACATCCAAATAATGTAATAACTCGTCCACTTATGCACATATATACTTTCACATGCGTATCTTGATACTCATGCGTACAAAGGCATATTCACATTGACGCACTTTCACGTGTATACACACGCACAGTATACGTACACGCCTGTACACTACACAGCTTACGATTCTACTTATATATATAGAACTATTGTCAAGCAGATTGCGTATGAATAGCGGTGATTAAGAATGACAGCGAATGAACACTCGCTATGGCAATAGTTCACTGATGGATGAAGTCCTCCCCAAGAATTGTTGTTCATTGTTGGGGGGGGGGGGTGTCTGACCATACTTCACCACGCTGGTCAATGGGGTTGTTGAAAGGGTGTCTGACCATACTTCTCCACGTTGGTCAATGGGGGTTGTTGAAAGGGTGTCTGAACATACTTCACCACACTGGTCAATGGGGGTTATTGAAAGGGTGTCTGACCATACTTCACCACGCTGGTCAATGGGGGTTGTTGAAGATGCAAGCTCAGAACCGGTTTAGGTATCACCAGGGAATCTGATTCAGGAGATTGCAGAGATCGAAGTGCGCCGCGCTAATCACTGCGCCACCGCTCCTATTTAACCACTGCAAATGGGAATAAACGTCGCTCCGTAGCGGATGTTATAATCAGTGATGCAGTTCCTATCTGTGTACGTAATGTGGAGTGTGTGTCTGTGTAACGTGTCATATGCATGCGCATATTGTGTTTGCGTGTAAAGTGTAGTATGTGTGTACATTATGTGTACGTCTGTATTGGTGGGGAGCGGTGGTGTTGTGGTGAGCGCGCTGAGCTACGAACCCGGCGTCCCGAGTTCGATTCACTCTCACGGCCAACACCGGTGACGATTATTTGGACTAATCCTGGGCCTCCCCTAGGTCGACTCAGCCTTAAATGAGTACCTACTGCGGTTTGTAATTATCGCCACTGGGGAGACAAAGGCGGCCGGGCGTGGTGTTGGCAACCCACCCACCCCCTCGTGTGCCGTGCCGGCCTTTATAGGTGCTCGCTAACAGCACTTGCCCCCACAGTCTGTTAAGGCTATACGGGGGATCTTTATCTTGTCTACTGAGTATGTGCGAAACTGATAGAACGGTCTTTGGGGTACAAGCAGTGAGAAGTCCACGTGCAGTTGTTTTTTTAATATTTTGGAATTAACCCAACAAACCGACTCCCGACCACGGCTCAAATCAGTGTCGAGCTATATGTAAACCGGTCCTGCCCCCCCCCACCCCCCAAATCTCAAACCCACAGCGACCAGCGTGGTGAAGTATGGTCAAAGTACTGCCATGACCCACGCAGCTTGGGGAAGGGAGCCCTTCATCCAGCAGTGGATTGTCCAAGGAATACGACGTCGTTATTATTCTTCAATAATTTAAAATAATTTCAACTCTGGTGAGCGTGATCCGATTATCATCTCTACATTGTACATGCATACTCATATATTACACGCATACGGTATACTTTGCAAATACACTATATATTCTATACGTTTACACATACGTACATAGACACATACGTATCCGCATAGTATAGTACATCCGTATATGTACATGCTACACTTCATATCATACATGCTTAAATACATACATGCTACATTGTACATACAAAATGTAAAGCACATGATGTGTATACTTTACATTCGTACAGACTGTTGGGGCAAGTGCTGTCATCGAGCACCTAACACAACAACAAACAACACGAAGTGGCGTAACGTCACCACGGCGCTTGTGCCAGGCTAGGTGCACATTGAGGCACACACAAATACACACACACACGCAACAACGACAAAGATCCCCCGTGTGGCCTTAACAGACTGTTAGGGCAAGTGCTGTTAGCGATCTCCCATGCAGGCCGGCACGCGGTAGGGGTGAGTGGCCAGCACCACACCACACATGCAACACACACACAACACACACACAACACACACATGCAACACACACACACATGCAATACACACACACAACACACACACCACATGCAACACACATACAACACACACACATGCACAACACACACATGCAAAACACATACAACACATGCAACACACGTGCAACACACACACACACCACATGCAATGCAACAAACACATACAACACACATACAACACACACACCACACACAACACACACACACCACACATGCAACACATGCAACACACACACCACACACGCAACACACACACATGCAACACACACACCACACACGCAACACACACACATGCAACACACACACCACACACGCAACACACACACAACACACACACACATGCAGCACACACATCACACATGCAACACACATACAACACATGCAACACACACACATGCAACACAAACACAACACACACACAACACACACATGCAGCACACAAAACACACACAACACACACAACACATGCAACACACAAACAACACACACAAAACAACACACACAACACACACACAACACACAACACACGCAACACACACGTGGTACACAACACACACACAACACACACACAACACACACACACACAACACATGCAACACACACGTGGTACACAACACGCTGCCATGTCACCGGCAACGTTGTCGCTGGACGTCATTGTCGTGGGGTGAAAACTCTCAACCCACTCCCGTTGCCTCTCTCGGGACGTCGTCGGCCAATTGTAAAGGAGGTTGCGGGTGTCGAGTAGAATTATTATTGACTATTGTTGTGGTTGTTGTTGTTGTTGTTGTTTATAGGATATTGTCATCGAACCTTCACGCTAGCGCCAATCCAGCACCGCCACCTTTGATGTGTCTCTATGTGTCTCTATGCTCAAAGTTCAAAGTTCATTTATTAGGTATAGCCCTGTGAGCCATTCGACTCTTGAATCGGGTGCAACCGCAACAAACAAAAAAGCATGAACAAGAAAACATCTTAAAGTGACTATGTGCCGCTGTGGGTCTCTATGAATCGCTGTGGGTCCGTGTCTCTCTGTATCTCGATGGGTTTACTATATGGTCGATAGTCATGGTTTGCGTGACCACAACCGCACTTCTGTGGCTTGTCTTTAGAGATGCCTTTCGACGTGTGTCCAGGTATCGCTGTGGGTCTCTGTGTCGCTACGTATATCTCTATGGGTCTCGATGTATCTCTTCGTGTCGTTGTGGGTCTCCATATATATGCATATCGCCGTGGGTCTCTATGTATCCCAATGCGTTTACTCGATGGCCCATGAAGACGCGATGGCTTTGCGACGGGGGACCTTCATCCAGCAGTGGATAGATGCTGGCTACTGCTCCCCGATATGAGAAACTGGCAGCGGGGGGTTCACCCTCGTATCGTTTCTATCGATCGGCTTTAGCGTCACACTCGGCTCTCTCGCCCTCCGAGATCATCATCATCGTCATCATCATCGTCGACGACGAGGCGCGTCATCAGCCGCCCAGTGACGATCGCCCTCTGTGCGCGTCACGCGCACCGCGTGACCGCGTGACTGCGGACGCCAAACGCGAAACGTCGACCACGTTCACGACGTCGCCCGACGCATCCCACACACGTGACGTGTGCATGGAAACATTCGTGCATACGAGACGCACGCGCGCGCCAGAACACGCGCGCACGTGCACGCACGTACCGCGTATCGGGAGAAACTGCCGTTGATATGTATCGACGATGCAAAAAAGTGAGGGTTTGAACGCTTACATACTTAACGAGACGTGCAATTGGCGTCATTATGGGTTGTTGTTGTTGTTGTTGTCTACGTTTCCAGCTGTACTACTACGTACACAACACGTGCACGCGTACCTACATGAACACAACACGCGCATACACTCTGCGTGCACTTGCAACCAAGCGAATACTCAGATATATGATATCGTGAACACGCAATTCGACGGCAGACTTGCGTATGCCCACCAAGGTACCCATTTATGGCTGAGTCGCCCTGAGTGTAGGAATGTACAAGCGGTGGTGTAGCGATTAGCGGGGCTGCGCTCTCAATCGGCGATCCGAGTTCGATTCCCACTCACGGCCAAAACCAGTGACGATTATCTGAGAACCTGGTGCGGTGTTGTAAACATCGCCACTGGGGCGACAAATGCCTTCGTGTGTGCTCGCTCACAGAACTTGCCCCAACAGTCTGTTAAGGGCTATACGGGAGATCTTTGTCTGTGTACTAACACTCACAAAGTTGCCACGTGATGAACAAAACGCGTCCAGGGTATTACCGCTGCAGCAGCCGCCGCTGTGATGTTGGAAGAGCGATTCGCAATCGGGAAGTCCGACGTTTTTGCTGGTAGTAACAAGCAGCACACGCGACGTCTCGGACGACGACCGTTCTACGTGCCGCGCAAATAAAGGCGTGTATTGATGTTCTATGAAACAGGACAATTGCCCGAAACGTCGCCTATTAGAATTTGTTTTATATTTAAGGCCACATGCATGCACGCAGTGTTAGTGGCCAATGCGTTTGAGGTGTCCGGAGAACAACGCGATAACCACTACGCTACCACTCTACCCACGTTTACACATGCACACAGATACATACAGATACATCTACACACGTTTATACATGCACACAGATACATACAGATACATCTACACACGTGTATACATGCATACATATACATACAGATACATCTACACACGTTTACACATGCACACAGATACATACAGATACATACAGATACATCTACACACGTGTATACATGCACACCGATACATACAGATACATCTACACACCCCACGTGTATACATGCATACATTCATATACATGCACACAGATACATACAGATACATCTACACACCCTACGTGTATACATGCATGCATACATATACATGCATTCATATACATACATACTTTCATATACATGCACCCCAAATGTATACATATATACAGATACCGTACGTACATGCACACACGTGAATGATTGAGCAATTACGTTTACCAGAAATAGAACAGCATGCAAGGTATATGCTGGCTGACCGTCAAGTTACGAACACATTAATACATAGCGCAGGTTTTACTCCGTTCCTACACGTACATACACACACAACGTTGCTCACGGTTTTGAATACGAAACAAAGACAACGATCCCCCCGTAAAGCCCTAACAGACTGTTGGGGCAAGTGCTGTTAGCGAGCAGAACCGATGAAGGCCGACACGGCACCACGTCCGGCCGCCCTTGTCTACCGAAGTGACGATGTTTACACACCGCACCAGGTACTCAGAAAATCGTCACTGGGTGTTGGCCGTGAGCTTAAATTGATCTCGGGACGCCAGGTTCGCAGCGTGGCGCGCTAATCGCTGACACCACCGCTCGCCTTAACAGACTGTAGGGGCAAGTGCTGTTAGCGAGCACCTATAAAGGCCGGCACGGTACACGAGGGGGTTGGGTGGCCAGCACCACGCCCGACCGTCTTTGTCTCCCCAGTGGCGATGTTTACACACCGCACCAGGTACTCATTTAAGGCTGAGTCGACCTAGGGGAGGCCCAGGACCGGTTCAGATAATCGTCACTGGTGTTAGCCGTGAGCGGGAATCGAACCCGGGTCGCCAGGTTCATAGCGCAGCGCGCTAACCGCTACACTACCGCTCCCCACTGGCTTTGAATAGACGCACACGGACACACATTGAATACGAGCGTGCACATTCGAGCAGGACGCATGTGTAAATCCACATACGTGCGACGCAGATATGCGACTTACGTGCACGCACGGGTGACGCTTTGTTTAGACACGTGCACAGCAGGCCACTTCTTTGTAAGCGCACAGATGCACGCGAATTGTGTGAACACAATGTTTGCGCACGCGTACGCAGAGCGCAGCATAGCCGAGCGTAAGTTCTGATTATGTTCTCGAAGGGCTAGAGGGCTGAGCATTTGTTACTAATACAGTTGAGGCTATTCTTACGTCTTGACACAGATTTTAAATTTTTACAAATTACATTCTGATTTAAATAAAAAGTAGTATTCATTTACCCGTCATAACTTGATGGGCACGTGATGTCCAAACAATAACACACTACGTGCGCGCTGCAATTGACGTTGATCGTAACATACATTCACACGCGCGCGCGCACGTGCAGTGAATTCTATTGGACACACAAAGTTTCAACACGTACAGCTGAACTTACTTTGGAACGCATTCATAGCCTGCAAACAACCATTTAATACATTCACCCGTACACACGGAGCACAAAACATCGCTTAGAATTCACACAGGACGCGAGTGCTGAATGCGTATAGCCCGGCTTGCTTATGCGTATGCATAGCACAGACGACAAGCATTGAATACACACAAGGCACACATAAATGATCACGCATGCACACACACACCACACAGTGGATTGAACGTGGCTGACGATGCTCTGTGTAGGCCAGTGTTGCGAGCAAACAGGCTTAATGCGCACGTGATCCGTACGCATTGACATCCACACACACACAAAAAGGTTTGAATCCGTACATACACACAAATACTTAAAGCCTTTGACAGGCACACACACATACACACATTCACATTAAAAAGACAAAGATCCCCCGTATAGCCTTACATGACTGTTGGGGCAAGTTCTGTTAGCGAGCACCTATAAAGGCCGGCACGGCACACGAGGGGGTGGGTGGCCAGCATCACGCCCGACCGCCTTTGTCTCCCCAGTGGCGATGTTTACGCAGCGCACCAGGTACTCATTTGAGGCTGAGTCGACCTAGGGGAGGCCCAGATAATCGTCACTGGTGTTGGCCGTGAGCGGGAATCGAACCCCGGTGGCCAGGTTCGTAGCGCAGCGCGCTAACCGCTACACGACCGCTTCCCACACAGGCACACGAAGTGTGTGTGTCAGCGGACATACACACGCATGCATACGCACATTCATGCACTACACAGCGATGCGTGAAGTGTTAGGCTAGCTTACATTAAGGCTTGAACACACACAATGCCACATACATGACCACACAAAACCACAACACACATGACCACACACACGAGCGTTAAAACACTTGCCTGCATGAACGCTTGAACACACAAAGACAAAGATCCCCCGTATAGCCTTGACAAACTGTTGGGGCAAGTGCTGTTCGCAAGCGCCTATGAAGGGCGGCACGGATCACACGCCCGACCGCCTTTGTCTCCTCACACATATCGCATCGGGTACTCGTTTGAGGCTGAGTCGACCTAGGGGAGGCCCAGGACCGGTTTCAGATAATCGCCACTGGTGTTGGCCGTGAGCGGTGAAACGAACTCGGGTGGCCGAGTTAGTAGCGCAGGGCGCTAACCGCTACACCCCCGCTCGCCACGACCACACGCAGGCTGGAGTGAACGCACACACATGACCACACGCATACACACGTACACAAAACAGAGATCCCCTGTGTAGCTGATCGCAGATTGTTGTGCCAAGTGCTGTTTGCGAGCACCTATGAAGGGCCGGCACGATACACGAGGGGGGTGGGTGACCAGCACCACGCAGAGCCACTTTGATCTTCCCAGACCTAAATGTTTACGCACCGTCCAAGTTACTCTATTGTTTTAAGGCCGAGTTGACCTAGAGGCGGCCCAGGACCGGTTAAGATATTTTTTTGTTCACACCAATTTTGGCAGTGAGCGGGATTTGATTGGACTCAGGGAAGCTGGCGCTCGTAACGGAGTGCGCTAACGACTACAACGACCGCTCCCCACGCATCTATACACACACGCAAATACAAAGATCTCCCTTATAGCCTTGAACTGACTCCTGGAGTGAGTGCTGTTAGCGAGCACCTATGAAGGCCGGCACGGCACACGAGGGAGTGGGTGGCCAGCACCACCCCCGGACGCCTTTGTCTCCCCAGTGGCGATGACTTTACACACCGCACCAGGTACTCATTTTAGTTTGAGTCGACCTAGGGGAGGAGGCCCAGGACCGGTTCGGATAATTGTCACCGGTGGTATTGGCCGTGAGCGGGACTCGAACATTGAGTCACCGCCGGCTTTGTAGCGCAGCGAACATTCCACACGCGTACACACACACACAGCCACACGTACAAAGTCCCCCCATAGAGCCAACCACACACATACACACACACGCGCGCGCGTACCCCCCACACACGCTAGTGGTTCCAGAGCAAGTTTCCTGTCCACGCTCATTCACTCAACAGAAACGGGAACACACATTGCTGCTGCTGCTGCTGCTGCTGTATCGGTTGAACATTACCTCCTCCTCCACCACCACCACCACCACTGGCGCCAATGATGTTATCAATAGAGAACGATGTTTTTGCCGGTCCCGACTCAGTCTTGAGCGCAGCGAGTCCGTGCGGCAGCCCCAGCGGACTCAGCTGCTGCGGCACGAACACCGCGCCGCTCTTCTTCGGCTGCAGACCTCCGCCGCTACCGCAGGAGGAGGCGCCCTGCATGAGCGGAGGCGGAGGCGGCTGGAGTAGCGAAGCGCCCTGTACTGACGCAGGCTGCTGCTGCTGTTGTTGCTGATATTGGAACGTGGCAGCCGCTGCCGCCGCTGCTGCTGCTGCAGAAAACGTGTAGGTAGGTCCTGAACACGGGTGCGGACTCAACGCCGTCGGTAGGTGGTGATGGTGATGATGCTGCTGCTGTTGTTGCTGTTGCAAATGATGCGCGTGCGGTAGTTGGTGATGATGGTGATGATGATTGTTGTGATGATGATGCTGCTGCTGCTGGTGATGATGGTGATGCTGCTGCTGCTGTTGGTGATGGTGATGCATGGACGGAAATCCGTGCAAGGGCTGCAATCCGTAGTTGAATCCCGAGTAAGGTCCGTAGGTGAACCCGGGTAGAAACGCGGCTGCCGCCGCTGCCGCCGCCGCCGCGGCCGCCTGCTCCTTGAGGAACTCCACGGACGACGCCTGCATGAGCTGCTGACGCTTGAAGCGCTTGCGTCGGCGCAGGAAGGAGCCGTTGTCGAACATGTCGGCCGACTCCGGGTCGAGGGTCCAGTAGTTGCCCTTGCCCGGGTTGCCCGGCTCGCGCGGGATCTTCACGAAGCAATCGTTGAGCGACAGATTGTGTCGGATCGAGTTCTGCCACGCGGGGAACTTCTCGCGGTAGTAGGGGAAGCGGTTGCTGATGAAGTCGCAAATCTCGCTGAGCGTCAGGCGCTTCTTGGGGCTCTGCAGGATGGCCATGGTGATGAGCGCGATGTACGAGTAGGGCGGCTTGACGAGGGCGCCCTTGGAGGAGGACGACGACGAGGAGGAGGAGGAGGTGGCCTTGATGCACGAGGTCGCGTTGCCGTGAGCGCCGTGTGGGTCGTCGTCGTCCGCTGCTACGGCGCCCCCCGAGTCTCGGCGCAGGCGATCCTCTTCATCTCGTCCGGCTCTGCCATCCTCATCCTCTTCGTCGTCGTCGTCATCATCGTCGTCGCAATTGACGCCGTCCAGGATGTCGAGGTCGCGGTTCTGGCCGCGGTGCCGCGCGTTGTCCGCGTCGTTGTTCGAGCAGCCGACGACTTCGTCCAAGTCGTCGTCCAAGTCGTCGTCGTCCAAGTCGACGTCTTCGTCCAAGTCGTCGATGACGTCTTCGATGTCATCGCGATCGGAGCCGAAAAGTCTTCGCGTTCGGCCGACTTCGTGTCTCCTGCCTCCCGCTCCTCCTCCTACGACCGTCCCTCCTCCTCCTCCTGCACCTCGTCTGTCCATTCCGCCACCACCACCGCCGCCACCGCCACTTACACCGCCACCGACATCTTCGCCAACGACGTCAACAAAGTCCTCGTCTGACTGCATGCAGACTCCTCGTCCGAGTAGCTCTGCGCCAAGAGTCATTCTCGTGAACACGATCGCCTCCGACTCTCAGCCCCCCCCCCAACCCCCACCCCCTCCCCCCTGGGTTCGGGGAAGTCGGGGGGGGGCGCTCTGTTGTATTGGAGGGGGGGGGTAGCGGGGGGGATGGACGGACTTGTTGATGGTCGCAGGTTGCTGTGATGTCTTTATCGCCTGGTCGATGTTGAGTGGAACCGTGGTGGAGTTGAACGGTGGTGGAGTTGAACGGTGGTTTGACTGGAACGGTGGTTGTCCCCAGCTCGTGTAGTCTCTTGAGTCAGGAACGGACCCTCTCTCTCCTCTCTGTCTGTCAACGTCAGTCGCTGGGATTCTGGTTGCTGGTGACGAGACGTCGCCCTGTTGTTTCGCGCGAGCGAGTTGATTGATTGTCGAGTCGCTGCTGCTGCTGCTGCTGCTGCAGACCCCGCTGTTGCTGTTGCCGCTGCTGTCCTTGTTGTTGTTGTTGTGAGAAGTTGAGCGCCACGGAAATTGATTCCGCGTTCCGCCTCTCGCCTCCTCTCCGACGCTCAGCCGAGTTCTGCTCTTCTCATTTCGCGCGCATCCCTCCTCGGCCGGCGACAACGGAGCCAAAGGCAGCCGCGCACAATACTGCGCTTTCAAAATAATCCATAGAGCGTCTCCGTGTGTTCGTCTAACGACTCGGATGAGAACGTGTAATAACAACAAAGTTCCTTCGCAACGAGACAAACGTAAGCTTGCAAAAACAACAACAACAGACGTCTTCTGAACGCAGGACTTTCTGCCGATTTTGTTGTTGTTAAGGACTCTTCATTGAACTGGTCTCGTGTGAAGTTTGTGTAGTAGCAGCAGCAGCAGCAACGGCAATAGTTGTAAGAGGTGGCACGGACACGTATCGCCAATAGTTGATGTCACGCTGCCAGCTGTCACCACGTGTACACACACGCGCACGCACGCGCTCGCAGGCGTCCGCGGATCGCTGCCGAGAACTTGTGCCGAGCCTGGGGGGGGGGAAGTGGACGAGAATCCGTCGTGGGAATTTATACCGAGAAGGCGTTGCGCGTCGAATCACGTGGAACCGTGTCACCCACCCAACCCACTCAACCCACCCAACCCACTCAACCCACCCAACCCACTCACGAAACCACGCCCGCTTTTGCCGATTCCCTGCACGAAAATTGGTCGCGCTCGATCAAGCCCCTCCTCCTCTTCCTCCTCCTGCTGCTCCGCCTACCTCCCTGCCTCCTCCCCCTCTACCCCACCACCCCTCCAGCTCCACCCGGTCCGCGTGTGTCTGTGTGTCTGCGTGCGATTAAACATCAGCACAGGGGAGACAAAGGCGGCCGGGCGCGATGCTGGCTAACCCCCCCTTCCTGCCCGTATGCCGTGCCCGCCTTCATAGGTGCTGCTCGCTCACAGCACTTTGCCCCAGCGGTCTGTTGAGGCTACACGGGGCCGAGGGGCTGGGAGATCTTTGTGCAGTGCCTTTGCAGAGGGTGCTGCTGTTTGTGATGTTGTCTTGTTGGGGTGTGCCACCCACGGCACTGATGATGATGATGAGTCGCGGGGCGCACGTGCACCCAGAGAAGCGTCATGGTCAGCGAGAAATCAACCAGCCACCCCTCTGCCCCACAGCCCCCCTCCCGAAATAATAATAACAATGCACCCCGCCACCAGGCCACGCGTTACATACAGCAACTCCCATTAGCAGGGTTACAGCACCTCCGATTAACACGGTTGGCTACGTACGGCGCGAAAAAAGTTCAACGTACGTCCAGCAAAATACCACGTGCTATCTACCACTGCAACCAACCAACGGACCACTCAACCACGCACCCAACTACCCATGGACAACATAACCCCACTCAGAATTAGGATTTTTATTTAGACTGGAGAAATCCGATGAGCTTTCAAGCTCTTTTTCACAAGATGTCCACTCACCTACCCCACTCGCCCACGAAACGCACCGTCACAGCAAGTTATCCACGTTGTCATTCTCTGTGGCTGTGTCCACCTTACCACCACCCATCGACCACAGGCCACCCATTCATTCTCATCACATGGACACCACTGTGCCAACTCAATAACATCACGTTAACACGCCCAGCAAACGCACAATATGCTCCCAACTAGTCGCACACCTACCCACCCACTCACCCACTCACTCACTCACCCACTAACTCACCCAACCACTCACACACACACTCACTCACCCACTCTCTCACCCACCCACTCACCCACCCACTCACTCAACCACTCACTCACCCACCCACTCACCCACCTACTCACCCACTCAACCACTCACTCACTCACCCACCCAACCACTCACTCACCCACTCACTCACTCACCCACCCACTCACTCACTCATCTACCCACTCACCCACCCACTCACTTACCCACTCACCCACTCACTCACCCACCCACTCACCCAAACACTCAACCACGACCACCACTGCCCATTCACATCAATGCAAGACAAAAATCCCCCGTATAGCCTTAGCATGCGGTTGGGGCAAGTGCTGTTAGCGACCACCTATGAAGGTCGGCACAACACACGAGGGGGTGGGTGACCAACACCACGCCCGGCCGCCTTTGTCTCCCCAGTGACGATGTTTACACACCGCAACGGATACTCATCGTAGTGCAGCGCGCTTACCGCTGCACTCACTGACTCACCCACCCACAAACTCACCCGTCAGAGAAATCCACGAACGCTCTACACCACTGCAGCCAGTCATCCAAACCCCGCAGACAGTCACCCAGCCACCCACCCACTCACCACAGCAATCCACAAATCACAGCTACACACACGCATCCACCCACCCACGTTACACTCTCCTGCACCCACCCACGCACACATCCACACATCACTCCACCCACCCTCCCACCCCTCGACTCGCTCCCTCCCTGCCGTCTACGCTCGCTCCGTATACCCATCGAATCGACCTCCCCTGCATTGGGACTGGCGGATCGGCGGGACGGGTGAGTCTGTGGATGGACGGGTGAGTGGGTGGGTGAGTTGGTGGGTGGGTGGGTAGGTGGGTGGGTAAGTGGGTGGGTGAGTGAGTGAGTGGGTGAGTGGGTGGGTGAGTGCAGTGGTGTCTATTGTTCGGACCGCCGTTACGGGTGAGTTTATGGGTAGGGTTGTGGTTGAGTGAGTTAGTGAGTGCAGGTCGCGTATACTGTGAATGAATGGGATATGTGATTGGTTGGTTGTGTGGGGTGAGAGTGGGTGGGTGAATAGGTGGGTGAGTGTGTGAGTGGGTGGGTGAGTGGGTGGGTGGGTGAGTGAGTGGGTGAGTGAGTGAGTGGGTGAGTGAGTGAGTGAGTGGGTGAGTGAGTGAGTGAGTGGGTGGGTGAGTGGGTGGGTGAGTGGGTGGGTGGGTGAGTGGGTGGGTGAATGGGTGGGTGGGTGAGTGTGTGAGTGGGTGGGTGGATGAATGGGTGGGTGGGTGGGTGAGTGGGTGGGTGGGTGAGTGGGTGCGTGGGTGGGTGGGTGGGTGAGTAAGTGGGTGGGTGAGTGAGTGGGTGAGTGGGTGGGTGGGTGGGTGAGTGGGTGGGTGGGTGGGTGAGTGGGTGGGTGAGTGGGTGGGTGGGTGAGTGGGTGGGTGGGTGAGTGAGTGCAGTGTTGTATAGCACCAGGGGTGGTGTTGCGGTTAGCGCGATGAACCTGGCGACCACAGATCGATTCCCGCTCACGGCCAACACGAGTGACGATTATTTGATCCTGTAAACATCGCCACTCCGAAGAGACAAAGGCGGCCGGGCGTGGTGCTGACCACCCACCCCCTCGTCTGCCGTGTCGGCCTTCATAGGTGCTCGCTGGTATCACTTACCCCAACAGTGTGTCCAGGCGATACGGGGGATCTTTATCTTTGTTTGTCTAGCACGTGTGGATTGCCGTCACATCAGGGGCGAGTCAGTGGGTTGACGGGTGAGTGTGTGAGTGAGTGCGTGAGTGTGTGTGTGAGTGAGTGTGTGAGTGGCGAGTGGGAGAGTGTGTGTGTGTGTGAGTGAGTATGTGAGTGTGTGTGTGAGTGTGTGAGTGAGTGTGTGAGTGAGTGTGAGTGAGTGTGTGAGTGAGTGAGTGTGTGAGTGAGTGTGTGAGTGTGTGAGTGAGTGTGTGAGTGAGTGAGTGGCGAGTGGGAGAGTGTGTGAGTGAGTGAGTGTGTGAGTAAGTGAGTGTGTGAGTGAGTGTGTGTGTGAGTGAGTGTGTGTGAGTGAGTGAGTGTGTGAGCGAGTGTGAGTGAGTGAGTGTGTGAGTGTGAGCGAGTGTGTGAGTGGCGAGTGGGAGGGTGTGTGTGTGAGTGATTGTGTGAGTGTGTGTGTGAGTGTGTCAGTGAGTGTGTGTGTGAGTGAGCGAGTGAGTGTGTGTGAGTGAGTGTGTGAGCGAGAGTGAGTGAGTGTGTGAGTGAGTGGCGGTCGGGCATGGTGCTAGCCACCCACCCCCTCGAGCACCATTCCGGCCTTCATAGGTGCTCGCTAACAGCACTTGCCCCTACAGTCTGTTAAGGCTACATGGGGGATATTTGAGTGAGTGGCGAGTGGGAGAGTGAGTCGAGGTGCATTGTGCGAGTGAATGGGTCACGCTGTGCGCTTAAACTCGCATGTCACGTAGGGAAGTGCGTCGATCAGGGGGGGGGGGGGCGGGGAGGTTGACCATACTTCACCACACCGGTCAGTGCGTGTCGATATGACAGCTGACCGACCACGTGTTACGTTGAACGGAAAGAGATTGGGGCGGTGAGGTGACGCGCGGGTGGAGTCATCGCACCGTAGGATCGTGAACGGGGGAGGCCTTCATCCAGCAGTGGATCGAGCAAAGCTGCTAACGACTCGATAGCGATAGGAAGTTCTGGCGCGTGTACGATGTGTGCGTGTGTGCTCGCGGGCAGATACAAATGCGGCCGGGGGTGCGTGGTGCTGTCCACGCCTTAATAGGTGCTCGCTAACAGAACTTGTTAAACAGTCCTGTAGGGCTTCACGGAGGGTATTTGCGTCTTTGTATAATAGATGTATGAGTGAGTGACTGAGTGCGTGGTGGGGAGCGGTGGCACGGCGCTTATCGCGCGGAGCTACGAACCCGGCGACCCGAGTTCAATTCTCGCTCACGGCCAACACCAGTGGCGATTATCTGAACCGGTACAGGGCCTCGCCTAGGTCGACTCAGCCTCAAACGAGTACCTGGTACGGTGTGTAAACATCGCCACTGGGGACACAAAGGCAGGGCGGGCGTGGTGCTGGCCACCCACCCCCTCGTGTGCCGTGCCGGCCTTGACATGGTGCTCGCTAACAGCAATAGCCCCACAAGTCTGTCGAGGCAATGCGTGGGGATTGTATCTCTGTGTAGTTGGAGTGTGCTTACATGCGTGTACCCTCGTCGTGTGGAGTACGTAGTTTGTAATGTTTGTAGAAGTGTGTCTATGGTGGTGGCCAGACCACCCCATTGTGATCGCTGGCAGCGCCTAGCGCGCAGTCCGTACGGCTGAAGTGTTTGGGAATCTGTGTCGCTGTTATGTCTACGGGGGAGCGGTGGCGCAGTGATTAGCACGCTGCGTTGCAAGCCGGCGATCTGGGCTTGGTTAACAATCAGTGGCGAGTGGTTCCTGAGTCTGTTTTGGATCTCCTGTAGGTCTACTCGGCCTTAAACTACGTCCTTGGCGCGGTGCATATATGTATGTGTGTGTGAACTTCAAAGAGGGAGTGGGAGTGCAGTGGTTTGCGCGCTGTGCTACGAACCCGGCCGCCCAAGTTCTGTCGGCTCAGCCTCAAATGAGTACCCGGTGCAGTGAGTAAAAACATCGCCACTGGGGAGACAAAGGCGCTCGGGAGTGGTGTTGGCCACCCACCTCCTCGTGCACCTTGCCGGCCTTCATAGGTGCTCGCTCACAGCACTTGCCCCAACTGTCCGTTAAGGCTATACGGGGGATCTTTGTCTGGGAACTTCACAGACGCCCAGCGGGTGTTGTGGCTATAACATTTCCACATTTTGCA